TAATGTCGAAATTTCACAATGTCGAAATTTCATAATGTCGAAATTTCTTAATGTCGAAATTTCATAATGTCGAAATTTCAGAATGTCGAAATTTCATAATGTCGAAATTTATATAGGCTAATATTACCGGTGAAACCGCCAAATCCTAGCCAAAAAACGAAAACGAGACGAAAAAACGACAACATTTTTTGCCTAGAATTCGGGGACATTACCGGGAATTTTAGCTTATGTAAATTTCGACATTCTGAATTTCGACATTCTCACATTTCGACATTATGAAATTTCGACATTATGAAATTTCGACATTGTGCAATTTCGACATTATGAAATTTCGACATTATGAAATTTCGACATTATGAATTTCGACATTATGAGTTTCGACATTATGAATTTCGACATTCTGAAAATAAGCCCCGTTCCCCGCTCCCAACATTGGCAGTTCCGAGAGACCGAGATAACGCCTTGAAATAACCCAGGCGCCGGAGATAAGAAAAACAGATAATTGGGCCACACATCTTGGAATAACGATGATTTATGCAACCAAAAAAGACGACACGGTATTGTCGAAAATTCGAGTGGCCGCCGCTGGCTTGCCCGGACTTTTTTATGGCTTTGTTGCGATTCTTAAAGGGATGGTGTAAATAAGCAAACGGTACTCATAGGGAGCTCGAAAGGTAAAAAATATGGATTTTGAAGCTTTTAATTTTTAGTGGTTTCAAAGCAAATTTTGCCGATTTTTGTTCTTGTTTAAGGGGGCTGTGAAGGAAAATCCATATCGGCTCTGCTTGATACGCCTCACTTAAAGCCTTCTGAACACAAATTTTGGCGGTTGCTTGCTGTCGCGGTCGCTTTAAGAAAAGGACGAACCCGAAAGATGTAACCTAGCTGTCACTAGGTCCGCACCGAAAAAGACGGTCCAGCCAGTGTAGTCGGTCCAACGGACCAAAAACAAGTCGGTCCGGACCGTAACAACCCTAGCTGCGACGATTACCTTAAAAAATCGCAAGAAAGATCCGCAAGTCTATAAATTGAAAATAGCCATTTTTAGGATTTAGATGCCCGGCAAGACAAAATGAATTTTGAACCCCAGAAAAATTGACCGCCGTAACCGAATGCACTTCGGAAACTGCGTTTTGTTTACGTCGCAGCTAGCCCGACAAAAAATCAGGGTGGTCATCGAGTTCAAAAAGCGCACCGAGCGGCGGGAGCGAAACGACGTCATGAGGGCTGGTGGGAGCGGTGGAGCATCAGTTTACAGACTCATTTTGTCATTTGAAACCTTGCCCAGCCAGGCGAGGCCGTTGAAATTGAGGGCAGATTTTAAGGACAACAGCGGGGAGTAAAGCGCGGGCGTGGGATTTTAGCGAAAAAAAATAGGAAAACAAATTTGAAACCGGAAAATTTGAAAATCAAGCTGATATTTTTGTAAAAAAAAAATTAAAAACATAGATTCTCCCCGAAAATCAGCTCCTAGTTGGAAACATTTCGTTCCACTAGAAAATACCGCGCACGAAAAACACAAATACCGAGTCTGCAAAAAGCCGTCACATAATCTTCTAGCACGCTTTCAGGCTGCTGAAAATCGCCCGTAAAAACACTCCGTGCCGCTACAATCTGCCGTGCTGTCAACTGTAGCCTTACTGACTCCGTCCCGCCACTATCTACAATACGGTCAACTGTAGCCTTGCGTACACTTACGTTGAGCTACAATCCGTAAAAATGAAAAATAATGATCCTTTTTCCGGTCCAATCCCCAGCCTTTATACGTGCCCAAAAATGGGAGACCACCTAGACAACAATTAGCCGGATTGGGGGACCTTTTTGCCCCACGGTCTACCAATAATCCGGAGGGCTACGGTCAGAGGTGGGCACAAAATCGGAACCACCCGAAAACTTGGGGCTTCCGCTCCACCGAGTCCCGCCGAGAAACTACAAAAATATAATGATTTTTGTGTGGCAGGTGGAGCGAGCGAGACAGGGAGTGAGAGAGCGAGAGAGAGTGCGAAAGAGCGAGAGATAGAGAGATAGAGAGTGAGAGAGAGAAAGAGAAAGAGAAAAGAAACGCCGAAACGATAAACAGGTCTGTGGGAAATTTGAAATTTACAGAACAAATTGGTTGGGAGAAAGAAAATTGTTCCAAGGTTACGCGCCGAATACGCCAGTTTACAAAAACGCACCGACAGCTGGTAATTTGGTCTGAGATATTTTTCACGCTAAAAGTCTCAAAAATCATATCATTTAAAACCTTCAAATGGTCGTAGTTTTCTAAAAACCAGGATTTTAAAAGCAATTCGTCAAGTATTAGAATGTTTGTGCTAAAAGGTTAGGAAAACAACAAAGAAGAGAGGGACCATTTAGCGAAAGCCGAAAGCTGACAATAAGTCGTAAAATTGGGGCATTCCCAAGAGCGAAGCGATACACAGAACGTTTGATGGCGTGAGGAGATCTAGGCCAGATAAGTTATCAATGGGCAACCTAGCAGACACCATTTGAGGATCTCCAAAAACCCTAAAAAACTTTCTTGGTGTTTCTTTGCAACCAGCCGATTACAGCCGCTTCGCGACTGCAATCGGCTGGACTTCGGGCCACCCTCCATATTCTACACCACCACATTTAATCCCTACCTTACGCTGATGCCTTCATGGCAATAACTACACTGATGGCTTCAGATACCTCCTCTAGCCAACCCCCCACAAAAACATAGCTACCTTCCCGATGGCTTCAGATACCCCTCCGGGTCGAAATTCCGTTAAAAATCTACCAAAATACCTCCCTGATGGCTTCAGATACCCCCCATGGCTGAAATCCCCTTCAAAAACTACCTAAATCCCTTCCCGATGGCTTCAGATACCCCCCATGGCTGAAATCCCCTTCAAAAACTACCTAAATCCCTTCCTGATGGCTTCAGATACCCCCATGGCTGAAATCCCCTTCAAAAACTACCTAAATACCTTCCTGATGGCTTCAGATACCCCCATGGCTGAAATCCCCTTCAAAAACTACCTAAATACCTTCCTGATGGCTTCAGATACCCCCCATGGCTGAAATCCCCTTCAAAAACTACCTAAATACCTCCCTGATGGCTTCAGATACCCCCCATGGCTGAAATCCCCTTCAAAAACTACTTAGATACCTCCCTGATGGCTTCAGATACCCCCCCATGGCTGAAATCCCCTTCAAAAACTACCTAAATACCTTCCTGATGGCTTCAGATACCCCCCATGGCTGAAATCCCCTTCAAAAACTACCTAAATACCTTCCTGATGGCTTCAGATACCCCCCATGGCTGAAATCCCTTCAAAAACTACCTAAATACCTTCCTGATGGCTTCAGATACCCCCCATGGCTGAAATCCCCTTCAAAAACTACCTAAATCCCTTCCCGATGGCTTCAGATACCCCCCCATGGCTGAAATCCCCTTCAAAAACTACCTAAATACCTTCCTGATGGCTTCAGATACCCCCCATGGCTGAAATCCCCTTCAAAAACTACCTAAATACCTTCCTGATGGCTTCAGATACCCCCCATGGCTGAAATCCCCTTCAAAAACTACCTAAATACCTTCCTGATGGCTTCAGATACCCCCCATGGCTGAAATCCCCTTCAAAAACTACCTAAATACCTTCCTGATGGCTTCAGATACCCCCCATGGCTGAAATCCCTTCAAAAACTACCTAAATACCTTCCTGATGGCTTCAGATACCCCCCATGGCTGAAATCCCCTTCAAAAACTACCTAAATCCCTTCCCGATGGCTTCAGATACCCCCCATGGCTGAAATCCCCTTCAAAAACTACCTCAATACCTTCCTGATGGCTTTAGATACTTTAAATAATTTAAATAATTAATTAACATAATTAAAAAGTATTAAAAGTATTAAAGTAACTCAAAAAGGCATCTGGGCGCGCGAAGGGGCCTGGGGAAGAGGGGCGAAGAGAAAGGGGGCGTGGCCTCCCGGGGAGAGGGGCCCCCACTCGTTTTATTAAGGCGCCACTTTCAAAGTTAATTTTAATAATTTAAATCAAAACTTTTTCATAATTTTTTTATCAGTTTGGGGGTTTCTGACCACGCTCTATCCGAATCCGAAGAGACCTAAGCTCTAGCTCCTTTCCCCTTCGAGTTGAATCCGGGACACGACGGACGGACAGACAGACAGACAGACGGACGCCTCTACTTTTTTATTATAGTTGATGATAAAAATTGTAAAAAAGGCAAACTAAGCAACTATGCCTGAATAGGTCAAGTGAAAAATATACTCTAGACTCACAAAAAAATTCAAACAAAGGCAAGCTAGCAGAGATTCTTCAGGAATCACCAAACCGAAGGTCAAAGTCCAAAAGACCATCAAAACACCCCTACGGAGCCATCAAACCACCACCACCCCAAGCGCGCTAAACGTTGCCCCAGGCAAAATTCGTCACACTAAAGTCGGTCAGTTCCGAGGGGGGAGTGTGAGGGTGGGGGCCAAGCCGGGGGGTAAATGTGCACTATGCACATAAACCGGGGCCAGGAGGTGAAGAAGGAATGGAATGCCCCCGGGGGCACAAACCGGGCACAGTTGAGAGCCGAAATGATGGATCAGAGACCCAATGGGGGGCGGAGATCCATATAACCTGAGAAATATCGAAAAGCTCAGGAAAAGAGCGCCGCTTAGGGCCCAGGTCCTGGGTCTAAAGTCAGCTGTTCCGGTCGGTGTCCTCGCTGGAATTTACCGAAAAAAACCCTAGGAAAACCTAGAAAAGGTGAGGGGACAAAGAGCTGTGATGAGGTGACAAGAAAATGCTACTAGTCATAGATCATGGAAGAAAATGAGCGAGAGCGAGGAGCGAGAGAGAGAGAAAGAGAGATAGTGTTTGAAAACCGCCTAAAACTCCCGCATTTTAGCTATCGAATTCCAAAAATTGCCAAAAACAGCACGCCTCGACGCCTTAGGAAAAATACCGAAAAATTTAGATAAAATTATAAGCTTCAATTCGAAATAAAAAACGCCTAAAAACCTACTCTTCATGCGACTGGCACAACCGGATCGTCTTCCCGACACCGCTCCGGTAGACGCTCAGCCGCTTCTTCGGCAGCTCAAGCAGGAAGAAGATGGCGTCGAAGCCTGAAAGTGTTTATTAAGTTTAATCGTAATTTTATGACACTGAGCAGTATTTGGATTTTTAAAAGCTCAAAAAGTGGCTTCGCATGGTTTCCGAGGCCCTAGGTCCTGTTGCGCGTAATTTTTAACGCGACTCCTTTCCAAAAATTGAATTTGTTGCAGGATTTTGCCTTCCTGGTTCCTTTAAAGCAACCGACAAAATCAAAAAAATCGAGCGTACCTTGATCGGTCTGCTGCAGCTGGCAGACCCTTGGGTTCCGGCCGACGCTTTGATAGATCGAGGCGCCGCGGGACAGCGAGAAACCGATTACGCCCTGAAAAACAAATTGGAGATTATCAGAAAGAGATTAGAGGATTCTCGAAGCGACAATAAAGCTAGCTAAACTTCTTAAAGCACCAAAATTTGGCGGTTATCTTTCAAAACTCTGAAAGCTGTTTTAAACTAATGGAAGCTATACCACGCTCTATTTTTAAGCTATACTACGCTCTATTTTTGAAGCCAGAATATCAATTAAAAATTTCAAAATTATAAAAACTCACATTTTTATCAGCATCCTCGTTGCTCGAGTCGGCGAGGTGGGTGATCTTGTCGGGGACCGTGAAATTCGACAAGATCAGGTCGAACGTGCCGCCGTACGTGTAACCGAAACTGGTGAGCACGATGTTTCGACGGGCGTCATCCTGAATTTGAGAATTCTGGAGCTGTTTATTTGCATAAACGATATCGGACTTCTATAGGGGTCGTAAACTCCCAATTTACCACCTGGGAGCCTGGGAAAGTGACTGATTAGCATATTTGTTTAGTAATTCCTGCTAAAGTCTAGTTTTCAGATCCCTTTTCTCTTAAATTTTAACTTTATAAAAAGATAGCTTTGTTTATACAAGCTTATCAATAGGGTAAACAGTAAAAAACGGAACAAGAAGAAGACGTTGGTTTGATTACCGTATTTACCTTTGATTCTAGGGTTTTCGAGAGAAAAATAAGTACTTTTCACGAAAAATAAAGCTACAGTAGTCGATATATTAAAATAAGCAAAATCCAAATTATTTTTACAAACCTGTAGCGCCAATTGATGGATTTTCCCGGCCGCCAACTGCAGTAGAGGCAGGAAAAGGAGTACTGGCAGGCTTTTCATACCCTGGAATTGTCCCTATTAAATTTCCTTCCAAACAGAAAGCTCAATTAAAGAAATGGAGAGTTCATAACATGTCGTAATCGATTGCCTCGTCAAAAACACTAGGAAAAACACCGAAAAATATGCTCTGATCTCGCCGATACCCAGGTCAAGGCCGTTGCTAAACCGGGAGGTTCGCAGGGGTGGGCGTCATAACTTATTTTCGGGAAAAACGGGATTTGAGAAAAATAATAGAGAAAATCATGTTAGCGATAAATGGTACTAGATTTGAAAAACATAATAAATTTTGAGGACTAACACACGGGGAATACGTAAAACTAGAACGGAAACTTGCTAAAAAGATAAAACGCTTCGTTCATAGAGATTTTACTTGTTAAAATCAAGCCTAAATGTCGAAATCTATGAAAATACCTTTGAAACAAATAACAAACAAAATTTTAGTTAGAAAAACATTATCACTCAGAAAACGCATCAAATTACGCCAGTGAATCCAGAAACATCCGAATTACGCCAGTTTCCGAGCTCATTCCAGCATTTTCGGAAAATCACAATGGTCAAAAAGACATAATAAAAAGTAGATATTAAAAATTACCAAAACCAGGGTTTTATAAGTTAAAAATTAGTTTAAAAACGTCAAAAAACAAGCAAATTAGGCCAAAACGCGCTAATTTCTACTATCATTAGCCTATCCAAAGAAAGTACGATTAAACATCGTTAAAACTGATCATGAAACAGGAAATACATGAAATTACGATAGATTGAGTTTCTCTCGCTAAAAATAGGGATAAAAACCTGAAAATACAACTCCGAATGTCTAAAATCGCGCTAATTTTCGAGTTGATTCAAGTGTCTAGAGGAGAAACAGCGAAAAAATCCGTCAAAATAACTCTAAAACATCAAAATCTAACACAAAGGAAAATCCAGACAGCGGTCTGGCCCTCCTAGGGTCTGGCCCTCAAAATAGGGCCCACCCTCGCCAAATTGATGGTAATTTAGCGGGGCTAAGGGTGTTTTGAGGGGGGCGGCCGGCCGTTCAGCCCATTTCCGAGCCCCCCGTTCGACGGCCCGGGCAAATATTAGTTGAAAAAGGCGCGACGCGCGGCCCCGGGGCGTTGCGTGCCCCCTGGTTGGGAGGTCCTTTTTGGGGTCTTCTTTCACTGCTACTGGGCTACTGAAAAAGGGCAACGCTTTTAGAGGGCTGCGAAAAATGAGGCAACGAAATCTGCTGCAGCGATTGTTGGACGAGCGGGGAGAGCTTTTGCCAACAACACACACGGACAGACGCGCGAAAAAGCATGCATGGATGAGGGCTCTGCGCATCCCCCCATGTTGCGAAAGTGGGGAATAAAAAGCCCTTGGAAAACTGGGGGGAAAATCGTAAATTGGGGATAGCGATTGGGGATAGAAAATTAATTTTTTGTTATGTTACATTTGTTACCCTCTATTCATTAACTGCACAAGCTTTCTCAAAGTTATTTGCAGTGTTAGAATTTTTCAAGTTTTTAGGTAAAAACCCGACGTTTCCAGAAAAGTTTCTAGGCTTTAAAAATAGCTAATTTACATAGATTCGCAAAGCAGTTACAGTTCGAAAAATTATTATGATATTTTCTTGAGGTTCTACGCAAAATAAAACAATTTTTACACCCCGGAAAATGATTACGGAAGCCTAGAAAATCTTTATTAGCGTCTTTGGCATTTTTAAATCTGATTTCAATCCCGGAAATACAGTGTTGCATGTATATTCCATTACTAAAAGGACATTTTAATTACGAGAGGTTTTTTAGAAAATTTTTCGGGTTTTGAGAGGCCAACTAGCAAAAATTCAAATTTAATACGAATCCAACGAGGGACCGATCCAAATTTAAACCTTACCAACCACTTGTACACTTCACACGTGCAGGAATGAGCTGGAAATTTATGGCAAGGAAGCCGCATTTTTATGCAAATTCAGCGAATTTGAGAGCAAAAATGCCAATTACATGGCTCAAGTAACTTTATTCACAGTGTAGTTTTTTTGTGCAATCCTCCTCGCCTTGTTTCAATAAATATTTCTCTAATGCGGCCAAACGAATGGTTTTGCCTCGTAGTGTCCATCGATGAGGTCGAGGCCGGTGTTTTGCAGACCCCTCTGTCGCTTTGGTGGTAGCTTATGGTTTTCGAAGGCAAAGATGGCGGCCTTGGCGGAGGCTTCTTTCATTTGAAAGTGGTCAAGCTTGGTGTATTCCTGAAAACAAGTAGAAATTCGAGGCTAGGGTATCAAAAAGCTACTAAAATACCTTAAAACCTAGGAGGACTAGGAAAAAGCACTAACCATATGGTCATCTTCATGTGGAATAATCGACGTCATTCGGCCCCAGGTCATCGTCTGTGGGCCAAGGACGTTGTCGTCTGAATTAAACATTCGCTTCCGTACGTCACGTTACCGTACGCTACGAAACTGTACGCTACTCGATGCTACGCCATACTCCACTACGGTACACTACGCGCCTTTTCATTGGGATACGCTGCACTACGCCTTTACGTTCTACCCGGCTACCGTACGCTACGCAACACTACGCCTTGATACGTTGCGCAACAATGTGTTACGTACGTACTACACTAAGAAACCGTACGCACCACTATAATACTCTACGCGGCTCGACACCAATGTACGCTGCACTACGCCGTTACGATACACCAGTCTGGGGGACGGTAAGTACCAATACGCTTCAGGGCTTGGCGTACGACGCTAACTTGCGTTCCGCTGTCGTAGGTTACGCGCCATACGCTACGTGTCAATACGTTCCGTAAAGCCGCGTAGCTTAATTTTACACGGCCCGCTATTACATTCAACATTTTACTCGGCTTCACCTACCATGACTGAAGAACGAGAACACATATCCGGCCTCCTTCTGCACGGGGCTGTTGTTGATGCTCCGGAGGAAGTCTCCGTATTGCATATCACGGCATTCACCCTCGGCAGCCTGTGCACACTGACGGTGAACTCCACCACCGCAAGTGCCACCTGGCCAGAAGCCGCCCTAAAAATTTCCAACTTTGAGGATTAGGTACGATCATGAACTCTTGCTTAAATTTTCGTAAAGCTAGAGAGAAAGCGTGGGAGAGAGAGAGAGAGAGAGAGAGAGAGAGAAGCTATCTTTCACTTACCGTCGGGTCACAAGATCCCTTTCCAGGCATCGTCACGCACATACACATCCCGAAATGAGCTCCAGCTACTCCGATGAAGACGTCGATCTTGTCGTTGATGGGACTGCCGAGGTCGCAATGGTCTTCGCCGGGGAATTCTACCTAAAAAAGAATAGGTAATAAAGAATGTAGGTGATAAAAAGCAGCTGATAAATTCGAGTCATCAAATTCAAGGAATTCAAATCATCTTCTTCAGATTTTCGCCAAAATTTAGGAAAAACTCTTCGTTTGGGAAAAGGTCTTAAAACAAACCAGTCCACCCTTCGCCAAACTCCTTGCAATCGTCGCTCCCATCGAGTGTCCGATAATGTTCACTTTCGGAGCTGCCGTGTAGTCGAGGACGTAGAGCACGAACTCGCGATGGCCCTTGATCCATTCGCAGCTCATTTTGCTGAGAAACGGGTTGAAAGTTGAACTTAAGGAGTACGGTAGCGTTACTCAGGGCCGTAACAAACCCAAATTTCGGGGGGGGGGGCGACCCCAAAAATGTTTCACTAATATGACTAAAACTACAGCGCCGCAGGCAAAATTTTTGAAAACATAGGGTTTATAACACTAAAACTAGTGTTAAAAATAGACAAAAACAGCGCCGCAGGCAAAAAAATTTTTGGAAAAATTAAATCATAAGGGTCCCCCCTTATGAACTTTTCGGCCTTCGGCCGATTTCGGGGGCGGCTCGCCCCTTTGGCGCCCCCTCTTACGGGCCTGGCGTTACTACTCACGTATCGGCAGCCAGACTGATATTTCTTGCTCCATAAGTCAACCCATAGAGTTCAGCAAAGGTGTAGCCGGCTTCCAAGAAGTGGGGAATCGTCGCCGTCCAGCCTTGCGACATTAGTGCGCCGGTGTCCAGAGCGGAATCGGCATTTCCGTGGATGAAGATGACTGGGGTTTTTACGACCTAAAACATCACGTTTGGCATGCGAAATCCAACGTTTTCAAGAGCTTGTTGAATTTCAAATGCTCTTAAGAACATTTTAGCATAACGTATAGTTTTATGTATCCTACTATATATAAAAAAATAGTTCCTGTGTGTGTGTGTGTGTGCATTTGCATGCAACTTCCGTCACCGTGTCCGGAGGATATCTTAAGAGGGGAAGGGTCTTCAGCTACGTATGATACGTCATTGGGTGCGTAACGGCCCCGAGATGACTGCACGCATATCAGATTTTTCAAATTATGCTATTTTCAACATTAAAATTAAGTTTTTGTTGAAAAATCCGGCAGCCTTCTTTGTTAGGAAAAAATTAGCATGCGCCGGAAGTGGCGGGAGCCTATATATAACGCGAGAGAGTGCAATTTTTCATTTTTCCTCAACCGAATTCGAGAGACGTATGCAGAGTGAAAAACGGGGTTAGACGGGGCCAGGGTTGAAAAGTCGCGAAGCGGCTTTTCAACCCTGGTTGTAAGGCTAAATTCCGCTTTTTCAATAAAAGTTTTGCGATTTTACCTCACCTTCTGGTCCGGATCCTTCCCTCCAAAGCTTCCTGTAGCCCCGTAGGTCTCGAACGATTTGAAAGCAAAGTTGTTGCCTTTCCTTGAAAACCAAATTTTTTTAATATTGGATTCTGTAGTTACCCTTTGAGCCAATTACTGAAATCGGTCTTAAATGGCCCGTACTCGACATTCCCCTTCACGTCCTTCCCCAAAACCACTGCCAAGTAGCTCGCGGCCAGCAGCACCAGCCGCATGGTATTACCTGGATTCTCGGGATACTTTAGAGGTATCTACTAGCCTTTAGCATCTTTTAAATGGAAATCAAATCCTACCTTATATAATTTTGGGGTGTATCTCTGTGTGTGTGTGTGTCCGGCTGACACTTTCGAGGCCCGATTTGAGGGCTTTCCAGTGTTCAAAACGCCCCAATTCTCCGTCACCCGGGGGAATCGACCCTCCTCTTTCCGATGGCCTTTTCAGAATCGCGATAAAATACAAGTTTACAAAGTTAAAGCCGGTTTTACTCAATTTTGGGGGCCCGGTGGGCTAATTTGCATAATGTGAAAAAAATAGAAATTTCCTCATTCTTGCCAGTTGCGCTCGCGAGTTTGGTCGGGGTAGGGGAGGGGTCCGAAGGACCCGAGCTATCGGAAAGTCAAATTTCTCATGCAAAGGCATGATTCCAGCGCCCAAGGCCCGCGAAGCGGGTTTTGGGCGCTGGTCCTCAAATGAAAAAGTGCTTATTGAGATTGCAAAAAATCGAGAAAATCGAAGAGAATCGAAAAAAAGGCTCTGGTCGTAATTTACAAAAATTGGTTCAGTTCTGAAGGAAATTAAGGAATTCAGGGTATCGGCAACATAACTGCTCTTCGCAACGTATGAGCTGTCGGTCTGAGGTTGGGAAAAAAATAAAGGAATCTTCGAAATTTGTTAACTTGTCAAGCTTTTTAGCTAGGTACCAAGGTTTACGATCGCATGCATCGGCCGTTAGACGTCAAGATAAACGTTAGCGTAAAAAACCCTTAAAAGAGGGATTTTTTGCGCACAAGCAGGTACTTTCCCACCACCTTTAGCATAACAAAACATGCGTATGTGTACGCATGCGTAACTGGCGGCACCTAGACGACATTAGTCGCCGATTTCTGGCTTCTCAGCAAATGTTAGTGTTTCTTTTGTCAGATCATCTGTTAAATCAGCATATCAAGGTGATAATCCAGTCATCCAAGCGTTAAAAAGTTAAAAAATGGTTAGGTAGTTAGTAAGTTAGAGTAAATGCATTTATTATGTGTTTCTTTGGTTTGTGTTAGTTATTTTTCTTCTTCCTCCTCGCTGCTGTAGCTGTGGACGGTCTCGAGGATGTCGATTCCGGTCCGCTTCAACTTCCTTCGGTCTTTCGGGGGAAGGGCGTGGTTGTGGAATGCCCAGATGGCATCCGCCGCTGTCTTGTCTTTCATCTCGAAGTGGGTGTAGCCACCGTACTCCTGAAATGGCATTTTACGTGGAGAGAGAGAGAGAGGGAGAGAGAGAGCCAGATAGAGATAGAAAGAGAGTTAGAGAGAGAGAGAGAGAGAGAGAGAGAGAGAGAGTGAGTGAGAGATAAAGAGGATAGAGTGGCTTACGTGGTTGCCGTCCTCGTTCGGGATGATTGAAGTCATGCGTCCCCACGTCAATGACTCTGGCCCGAGAACGTTGTCGTCTGAATTTGAAGAATTTTTACTGGGATTGGGGGATGTTGCGTGAAGTTACTCTACGCAAGCTACGGTACGCTACCATACACTGTACGTGAGATACGAATGTCGTTTGAATGGAACAATTCCGATGAGCTCGAGCACCTGGGACGTGCTAGCTATCAGGTTTGAGCTCGCTGCTACACGCTGCGTTAGTTCCTGCAATCCTGGCCACGTTGCTAGGACTACGCAGAGATACGGCAAGTCGCTACCCCCGCTACCGTACATTGGGATATCTCATTAGCTCTTGATACCAAGTTTGACCTACCCCTCGAGAACAGTGAGAAGACATGTCCGGCCTCCCTCGCCTCGTTGTTGTTGATGTCCTTGAGGAAGGTGCTGTAGTGGTCGATATCCGTGCATTGTCCCTGGCTGGCAGTAGCACAGGTCGTCTCCACACCTCCTCCGCATGTGTTGCCGGGCCAGAAACCGTCCTGAAACCAGAACTTCCCGTCTGGCGTTTCGATTTTCTCGTAGTTTCCGAATTTTGAGCATTTTGTGCCTCGTTCCTGTAATTCTTACTTACCGCAGAGCTACAGGAATGCTTATCGGAAAGCGCCGTGCACATGCACATTCCAAAGTGGGCTCCAGCCACGCTGATGAGCACGTCAATTTTGTCGGTCAGGGCGTGGCCCAGGTCGCAGTGCTCGCCGTTGATGATACTCTGAAATTCAGGGTTTGAACAGCTTGATGACGTGCCATTCCTAAGCTGTGTTTAGGGAATCCTACTAAAAGGCCTGCCCTAGCACTAGTCGCTGCGTTACTTCAAGTACGTCTGCTACGCCAAGTCAGAGATAGCGAGAGGGAGTGAGAGAGAGAGAGCGAGAGATAGAGAGAGAGAGCGAGAGAAAGAGAGCGAGAGAAAGAGAGAGACGGCTTGAACTACAAAATACAATTACTTACACTTCCTCCTTTCGCCACAAATCGTGCAATTGTTGCTCCCATCGAGTGGCCGACGAGGTTCACCTTCGGCGCGCCAGTATATTCCAAGACGTCTTCGACAAACTTCCGATGGCCCTTCATCCATTCGCACGTCATCTGACTATAAAAATCGTGATAAAAAACCAAAAACTTGTCAGAAAATCTGCTCGGAAGATGCAGAAACTACTAACAATACGGTGGATAGTGTGAATCAGTCAAAAATTTGAAGGGTAGACTCACGTATCAGCCGCAGTCGCCATGTCACGATCTCCGTAGGTGATACCGTACAACTCGGCGAAGGTGTACCCCTCGTCGATGTAGTATCCTAGGGCTTTTGTCCAGCCATCAACAAGCATTGCCCCGGTGTCGAGGGCCGAGTCAGAGTTGCCGTGGATGAAGATGACTGGGGTTTTTGAAATCTGAAAAAAATTAGTTAATGGTTTTCTCGCCAGGGCCGATACTATTAAGGTGCAATAATTTAGCGAAAGCTAGGAACATTATAGAGTACAGAGTACAAAAGAGCAGACTTTAAAACCTCAATGAGCGCCTGAGAAAATGCAACTTTCCCGGGTTCGCCTCCCCAGGCGTAATGTTTACCTTTGTGCTTGCTATTGGACCTGCTAAAATGTACTTTTCTTACCCCCAGCGTCTATCGGGAAGTGTAAAGGGTATCGGAAAGTACAGAAATTACTAAACTTCCTAGATTTCTCGATCAGGAGAGCTATTTTAGAAGATCGTACCGCGAAATTAGCAAAACTCCAGAAAATCCAATTGATATGAGGGTATTGAAAAGTAAGAAACAACGAGGAAATTCAGATAAGCTGCATAATGATGTCAAATAAATAAAAACCATTACTACAACCAAAATACCGTAACACTTACCCCTTGTCCATCCGAATCTTTGCCTCCAAACGTTCCTGTGGCCCCGTAGTTGTCGTAGGCTTCGAGAGCGAATGTGTGGCCACGACTAAAATAATAGGATATCTAAATGCGGCTCTGTCTAACATATAGAACGAAAAAATACTGTACAATCCAATCCGTCTATAAAAACCCACGCAACAAGCCAGTCGTGGAAGTGCGATTTGAAGGGACCGTATCCATCTCCGTCGATCCGATAGAAGGTCTTGGCGCCGAGGGCGCCAAACATGGCCACTGTGAGGAGAAGGAGCTTCATTTTTACTAAAAAGGGCAATTCAAACCCCCTATAGAAAATTAGTATTCTTTAAAGTATCAAAATTACACACTGAAAGTCTCGAAACCATCTATATAAATTTCTTGCGACATCGCAACTATTAAAAATTAAGAGATGAAAGCAAGTATCGGCTTCAGCATGTCCAATTAAGATAGGTAAAAGTTGAGCTCTAATGACCTCCAGTTTTGTCCCTATCCCTTTAAAAGGCCAAAAATAATATTCCTTACTTTCCTTCCTTTCCGCCTTTAATTCTTTACTTCGTCTCGATAGCTTAGGCATAAAAACGTGAAAATAGGAAGGTATCCAAAGATAGAAGATCCAGAAATCGGTGTTAGGGTATAGAATGCTGTAGATCTGATTACGATAGGCAAATCACCCGTTTTAGTGAGGTGAGAAATGTCAGGTTGCTTCGCTTATCACTCCCAAAATAATTCCAGGAGGCGCCAATTTATACACGTGAGTCGTGAAATTCCGAAGCGGTCCAAAGAACGCCCCACGTTTCTAGTCCCCAGAAACCCAAGCCATTTCCAGATTCTGGTCAAGCCGCCATCACACATCTGCTCGGAAAAAGCGTGCTTTGGCCACCCCTACTTTGCAGTACTTCTCTAGAAACTGATAACACCGCCCCTGGGATAAGTTCGCTTGGCGCGCGCCCGAATTGTCGCTAATTCCAATCGGATCATTTTGTGCTCACAATCAGGAGTGGGGTCAGGAGGGGTTATGTTTGGGTAAAATTAGGCTAACAAATTAGGGGGTAGAGGCACGCGAAGCTTGGGTTCGAGTTGCAGCTGATATTTTGAGGGCTAAAATGCCGACAAGACAGAATGGCCATGGCTCTATGCCAAAATTCAAGAAAAAAAGAAGTCAAAAATTGGCAAGGCAAAATTTCGATAGCCCAATGCAGACTTTGAAAAAGTCGTAGAAACACCGACGGCCGAAAACCTCGATATCACAAACCACCCCCACGTGAAAAATGCCGATATCCCAGTGCCATATACAGACGTCAAAATACCGACAAGTAAAATGTCCAGAAGCGCATGCCGACTCAAAATCAGCGTAAATACCGACAGCCAAAAATTTCGTTCCAACATAATCGAAAACAAACGGAAGCAGAGTATACGGGAAAATATAATCCTCGCCATTCCCGAAGCTATCAAGCCGGAAGTATGCTGCTCATTTGGATTCAGTCAATATGTGTCCCCAAAAAATTTGCCAAACTTTGGGTTATTAGCGCCACGGCTTGCAGAGTTCATCGTTCCTTTAAAATCACTATTTTTTTTCTTAGATGACTATTGTTGGTTCTTACTATTTTGCCACTTAATTTAGGTAAAACCAGGGCTGAAAAGCCGCTTCGCGACTTTTCAACCCTGGCCCCGTTTGGACAAATGAAACTGTAAAATTTGCATAATTCAGTCTCAATCAAGCTGACAAAAATGAAAAGATTTCCTTCCATCCCTTTTTATAGGCTTCTTCTACTTCCGGTATATGCTAATTGTTTCCTCCCAAAGAGGGTTCTCGAAAATTTTAGAAAAACTTTTTTTTATTATCGAAAATCGAGTATTTCGATAATTCTGTTATACGTGCAGTCATCCCAGAGCCATTACGCACCTAATGATGTATCATACGTACCCTAATATTCATCCCCTATGGAGTTATCCTCCGGACATACAGACGGAAGTTGCATGCAAATCGACACACACACACAGACACTATTTTTTTATATACCAGATGGTTACAGTCGCTTCGCGACTGCAACCATCTGGCCTTCGGGCTACCCTACATGTCCCACTCCACCACATCCTGTCCCACCTCCATCAATACCCCCCATGGCTGAAATCCCCTTCAAAAACGACCTAAATACCTTCCTGACGGCTTTAGATACCCCCATGGCCGAAATCCCCTTCAAAAACTACCTAAATACCTTCCTGATGGCTTTAGATACCCCCAATGGCTGAAATCCCCTTCAAAAACGACCTAAATACCTTCCTGATGGCTTTAGATACCCCCCATGGCTGAAATCCCCTTCAAAAACGACCTAAATACCTTCCTGATGGCTTTAGATACCCCCCATGGCTGAAATCCCCTTCAAAAACGACCTAAATACCTTCCTGATGGCTTCAGATACCCCCCATAGCCGAATTCCCCTTCAAAAACTACCTAAATACCTTCCCGATAGCTTCAGATACCCCCATGGCTGAAATCCCCTTAAAAAACAAAAATAACGACCGACCGGATGGAATGAGAGGAAAAAAAGAAATGAAATCCCCCCGTGAAAATTTTCATCCACGAAACGCGCGCCACCTGGCTCACTATGTCCAAAATCACCCCAACCTCCGTCCCCACCCCTTTTACTAAGGAAAAGACTTTCAAAGTTAATTTTAATAATTTAAACTAAAACTTTTTCGTAATTTTTTGATCAGTTCGGGGGTTTCTGACCGCGCTCTATCCGAATCCGAAGAGAGCTAAGCTCTAGCTCCTTTCCCCTTCGAGTTGAATTCGGGACATGACAGACACCACAGCAAAATTATTATAGTAGATTATAGTAGGATACACAAAAACGCGTAAAAAAAATTTACAAGTCCCAAAAACGCTGAAAAGTGCATTACAGTTGTTTTTTTCCCGACGGGACTACAGTACCCCAAAACCAAAGAATTCTAAATCCGTACCTGCACGTGGGCTCCCAGCTAGGCTGAAGAACGAAAATATGAACTTCCTACAAAACCGCCGACTTTTATACAGTGCCCCATGGCAATTTCGAAGCCACGCCCCCTTTTGAATATGCAAGTTCACATGGTTGTCTGGGTACTCTATTACTTGCATGGTCTCTATGGAAAGACGACGTGGACAATTCAGAGCACAATTTGGAGGCATATTAACTTCCTTCTTCACGTACTTTTGCGTTACGGTAGGCAGATTAAAGGGGTTCGGAAGCTAAAAAACTACCGGCAGTCACGAAACGATCCTGGAGGTCAGATGAAGTTGATTTATTTATTAAAGCTGCTCGCAGGGCAGCAGAGATTCTTGAGGAAAAACCGAGAATTCCCTAATATACTTTTTTAACCATTAGTTTTTGGACTACGGTACACTGTTCACTGACGATGCTTAGCGTAAATTAGTAATTCAGCTTGCGACATTCTTCGACAATCAAAAGTTTCTCCCGATGCATACTCTTTCCCTCTTGAGGCAATTTAGCAAAGATCCTTTGTCAAAAAATGAGAGTGCTAACGGCCAGGAAAAATTCGTGCAAAGTCGCGAGCCGAAAAAGGCAGCCAGCAGAGTTTCTTGCAGATTAAAAACCTTACTTTTGGAAAAAGCGTTTAAGCTACTTCCGCTTCTGCTTCTAAACGTTCAATGATTCCCCATGACTACACCCAATTCGGAACACAGCTTCTCCACCTCGAACCTCAGGCCCCAACGACGCCACCACGCAATTTTGTAGCCCCGTGACCCGTCGGCTAAAAACAGGCAAAAAATGGATGAAAAAGCTACAGTACCCCGGTTTTCGCACTCCTTTTTTGCTCGAAGCACAAAACACAGGCCAGAGAGGTTCCAGACAGCTAACCGCCTCCAAAAATCTGGCGTTGACTTACAAATGGTATTGAAAATGCGCATCTGGCAAGTTATAAAAAAATGCCGGGTTTTTCACTGAATTATTGATGAGGTGGCGTTTCAAAAAAAAAATGTCTGAGCATCGCAATAGACTGTATTTTTAAATTTGTAGAACCTAGTGGTTATGAAAGTTTGGATATTAAAAAATGTTGCATAAAAATTTTGTTTTAGGGCGCGAGAGCTAGCGAGAGAGTGAGGGAGAGAGAGAGCGAGAGAGTGAGAAAAAGCGAGCGAGAGAACGAAAGAGCGAGCGAGAGATAAACCTTATGGCAAGATATACCTGGAAAACTCACGAAAAGGTTAGAAAGAACGAAAATTCCAACTCTTTAAACAATGCAAAATCCATTCTAAGCATTTCCAGAAAAAAATTAGCTGAATACTTTAACCGAACTAAAACTAAACTTTAGATTTCCGCTTTGCTAAAGATCGCAAAAATTGACCTCTCCCCCACCCCTGGATTTCGAAATCCCAGCGATAAAATGAAAATGTCTCGCCGCGACAGCTTCTTCCGAAATGGAAAAATTTGGGCCAGCGGTACTTAATGTACTTCCGGAAATTCGGGATCGAGCATTCTGCCCGGTCCACTGTTCACCCGCCACTTTTATATGCTTCTTCTTATGTTGTTATTTCGCGCGCGTCTGCGCCTCGAAGGGGATGAAAGATGGGCTGAAAAACGCGCTAATACATCTCGCTGCGGGACCCATTTTTTTCGATGGAATCTCAGGCGGCTTCGAGGCCAGGATGAGGATTTAATGAGGTAGATGACGTGCAAAACTGGAGGAATTACGCGATGATACGCCTTTTACGTTTGATGGTCGTCATTTGGCCGCTGCGGTGATGGGTGTGTTATGTAGCAAAATGGGCTACATCCTTGCAGAGATCCTGAACGAGAACAGTGCGACCAAAGAACGTTTCTTCACTTTAGAAATTTGCTGTTAGAAGTGGTTACGCAAAAAGGCGGTTCCTTAATTTTTATAAAGTTTGTAAGTTAAATTTTGGCATTTTTGCAACGCCAATCGATTAAAACAATACTAAGAGTTTTGATTTGAGCCTACAATAATGTAAAATCAAAAAGTTATAGCCAAAACGTTCCCGCTGGGGGGTAAAGTAAAGCTTATTGTTAGCCGTTTTTGCATCAATCAATCCAATCCAAGAACCTTTTAGATTCTACGTAATTTTCTAGGAACCTGCTAGCTCCCAGACGTCACACTAATTCGCAGTATTGCCAATTTTTAGCAACGCCATTTCCTCAATAGCATCGTCAATTCATTTCTGCAAAAAATTGCACGAAATTTCCGGTCAATTAGCGCCGTTCAACGCAACTTGTCGACCACCACTAGCAGCACAGGAAATCGGTGTCATTAGCGAACCTGACGTAGTTGTTATAAGATCGACAAACCTTTACTGTAGAACCTTGACATTCCAAACTCCAAGCTCTCCTGGAATTCGGGGCTTCAAGTTAATTACAGCGGATTTGGTGTTCGAAATGTCGAATTTCCTGGAAACATTTTTGTTAAAGGTACGAGAATAGGCCATGTAGTTTACAGCGCCTTGTAGCTTCACATGTTCATCTGCGACCGGAAATTCGGGAATTTACCCGGCTACAGGTAATTTCCTTTTTCCTACAATTGAGGAAACTTGCCGAAGTTGTCGTTGAAGATGAAGCTCAAAAGGGTAAGTATAAGCAGAAATCGTTTGAAATACCAGGGGGAAAGCAGAAATGCTTGAAATATTAAGAAAAGCCTGCTTCAAAGGCCGTAACGCTTAAATTAATATAGTAGCGAGATCACGCTCGGCCCCGCGACGTTTAAGCAAAAAAAAAATATATAAAAAAGGACAAAATCTATCTAGAAAATACATTGCTGCAACTAAAATGAAAAAGATTGATTATGTGGGCAGGGGGGAAAGTAACTAACAAACTGAAAAATTACAATCTGAAAACCGTCAACAATTTCGGAACTTATTGCTATAAATTCAGCAATATTAACAAGGATATCTACACAATCACAGCCAAACAAGAGAAAAGAATAACGCGACTAGCAAGCAAAAAAATAAATAAACAACTCAACTAACAAGCTATTTTCAAATCAGAGGGTTTTCCGGCGCTTCATCTGTCTTTCCTTTATGCTTGCGGGCCTCGAAGTATTTCGGCAGGTCGATATCTAAAAGATAAAAGGTAATTCAGACAACAAAATAGAACTTACACTGAAATCCGTGCAGCTCAACGGATTTATCTGCAGATTTTCGCTTTTCCTGGATTGGAGGAGACGGGCTGCCAGAGTCTGAAAATAGATAAAATCAAACCAAAAACGCACTTTTAAACAAGTTTCATAAAAGCAAAATCATAAATTAAAATCTTATTAACGTACCATCAGAACAGGCAGATGAATCGGTCGAGTGGGCGGGCAAGAGCTGATTTTGAGCAGGTTGCTGCTGCACATCGACAAACTTCCAGGAGGACGCCCTAAAAACTTTAAATAACTCAAAAGTTCCTCCTCTAATTCTGGACTAAAAAACAGAATTTGTACCCGAAAAATCATAGAAAACCTAGTACCAAACTGCATAATCCCGACTTCTTGTAATACTGATTTTCTTGGATCCCGAATTGTTATAACCCAGAATTTCGCAAGAGGAGATTACATACTCTCATTCTTTTTAATAATGTCGAGGGTTTTCATGCCAAACTTTTACCAAAACTAAAGTTCTATGTAAAAACGCCGAAATTCCCCAGCGCTAAATAGTCTCACAAAAATACGACAGTTTGGCATTGCACAATTCGGTATTATGAAAATTCGATCGTATAAAAAGCGCTGTTATGAAAATACCACATTAAAAAAATTGTCACTATAAAAATTTCAGCAGTATATCATTAAATGCCTAAATTTACCTTCGGTATCCCGAGTAAATAGGGAATTCCAGCTTCAGCGGATCACCAGTCGCATCCGGCGCCTCGGACAGTATGCCCTGCAGCCAATAGATCTTGCGCATCGCCTCGTGGAGCACTTGGAGCTGAATGCAGGAGTTTTCTAAAAAAACACAAAGGAAACTACCTGAGTCAATCGGCACCGCCGTGGAGCGTCTCCCACCACGACATGCTCCAACTGCTGGAAGGCGTCGACGAGCTGAAAGAAAGGTTTAGGATTAGTTTCGGCACATCACGAGTTTTCAAAAAAGTAAAATTCTTGGATAACTTCTGCAAAAAAAGTCTGAGTTTACATCTAGAAAAACAAAACCTTGCCTGCTTAGCCCGGTTTCGTTCCCGCGTGTTCCTTTTGAACTGCTTTTCGGGGATTTCGGAAGCGGAGCGGCGCTTCATCCGGGCACTTGCAGACGAAGATAACGAGCCCTCTAGAAAACAACCTGAGTAGCTGCGATGGGAAAATAGAAGCTAAGGAGACTACAGGGAGAATTGACATTTTCGGTTCACGTCGAAACTTTTTTCGGGTTGGATCGTTAAACCAATAGACAAATCGTCTTCAGGATCGAAAATTAGGTGGAGGAAATCTTTTTTTACTCCCGAAAACCTGTTTTTAATTTTCAGCTCGGGGACCGTAAAGGTTGTACGCGCGAATGCAGTTTACGGTCTGCGTCCAAAAAGTTTCGGGTCGGACTCGATGTCATTTTTATTTTTTTTCCTTCGTTAGTTATGGTTTATTTAATTTAATCCTTTTATGCATTCGGTTATTATTCGCAGCTGATGAATGGACGGCGGTGGTGATGGAGCCTACACGCTGGTTAGTAAACTAAAATTTTTATGAAAGTATTGCGTTTATTAGCATTTCTCGAGTCTATAGATTAGTTGCTTACGCGCCACTAGTTGTTGTTTTATCCTTCTCTCTTTCTTTCCCCTTTCTGTGCTTCCAACCCACAATAACGCCACGAAAAGGGCCGCCGCTTGTGTATCGACTTTTTTTTCAGTTGCCTCGCCCCCGAAATGCCGCTTCGAAGCTCCACAAATTGCTGGGCCCCCAATTTCAATTACAAAATGGGTCGCTGAAGTTGCTTCAACCCTCGAAAAGTTACTTTGTCTTTGAAAACTAGGTTCCAGGATCCACGCGGTTGTTTTACTGAAAAACGGTGTCTCGACAGCTTTGTTTATTTGCTCTGCAAAGCGCTGACTCCTCCCTATGCACTTACGTCTAGGCTTTTCCCTTTTGCCAGCCCCGTTTTTCAGTGGATCCGACAAATTCAGCTCTAAAACGTCTTAAAACCCTCAACTTAAAGCTTTATCTTGATTTCCGGTTTTTTTGCTAGACTTTTTGCTGGCTTCTCCTCGTACTTTGCACACGCCGAACCGCAACCCGGGACCGCGATCAAGCCGAAAAACAGCGCTGGGCCAACAGGCGATACGCACAGTTGTGCCATTCCATCACGTGATCCGCCGCGTTTGTGCCGCCGGATCATTTGTTGCGTCTGGGGGCCTCATTTTGTGCCAAAGAAACCTATTTCGCACCTTATTTTTGCTTTATTCGCGACGAAAACGCGAAAATTATGATTTTAGAACCGAGGCCTTCATTTACTAGAAATTGCTTCCTTGTTTCGGGAAAAGTGCCAAAATTGCCTTTTTAGAAACTAGTTCTTTAATTTGTAGACTAGAAGTCGGCCGAAAATTGCAGTTTTCATCATAGTAGCTCTCATTTTTTCAGCCTTGTTGCTGAGCAACGTCCTTGTTTCGCTTATCCTTGTTTTTTGCGTTGATTCGCAGAAACTCTTAAAATTCTGTTTTCGAAAACAGAATTTTTTTGGTTTAAGATAAGAATCTGGTAATCCTATTCTTCTTGGCAATTATTTTTGCTAATTATTTCATTTTTATCGGCTAAAATCCGGCCTGAATAATATCAAAGACACTTGAGCCTCTCTTAGACCAATCCTTGTCAAAAGAACTTGTTTTCGCAAATCCTCCCTCCCGCAACTAGTCGATAGAGCGCCCAACAATTGTGCAAAACATCAGTTTTCGAGTTTTTTTTTAAAGATTTTATCACCAATTTTTCGATTTTCGACTACTCCAAGATGATTGACCCAGATTACCCGCTCCTCCAACCTTTTTGAGCTCGACAACCTGGCCCGTGTGATCCTCAAAATCTCAGACTTTTCCTAGATTTTCTCGGGGGTCTCTTATCGTGTTTGGGGTGCCAAAAGCGTGTGTGCTAGCCCGGCGGTTGCTGACAGGCCAGATTTTCGCTGTGTTAGACTTTGATCGCTACACATTTTCGATTTTGATCTGCTTCTTTTCCTGGAAATTGCTTTCTTTACTTACCTTACTTTCAGTTTTCCATTTTCTGATGTATGCCTACAAAATACTTTATTAAAGGCTTATTTTCAGATGGGCGACGGCCACGTGCACAGCCACGACCACGACCACGGTTGCTGCTGCTGGAGTTTGGCCGTGAAGATTGCCCTTTTCGGCTTCATCTTGGTGGTTTTATGGCAAACGAAATTAAGGCGAGTTTGGATTGCTTTATTGCTTATTGTCCGTGTATTATCTTTATTATGAAGTGGTCTTCTCTAATTCCCCGTTTTCAGATATCACCTCAAGATGTTCTTCTACCTGCTGAGCCTGATCTTTGGCGGGCTAATCGGCGGCTTGATCAGCATACCCTACGGCCGGACACCCAAAAATCATTTGTAAGAGACTTCTTTTTTGAGATTGAACTCTCTTTAGCCGGATGTTCAAAGTCTTCCAAATCATCAACTCCGTCCTGCAGCTCAACTTTGAAATTCGGCACAAGGAGCGGTTAGAATCAGAAGAGCCCTTCATCCTCATCGCCAATCATCAGAGTTGTATGGATGTTTTAGGTATATTTTCTACAACTTTTTTTTGCGTTTAGATCTGAGGTATTCTGTTGTTGTAAATTATACATATTTCTTTTTATTGTTTAATAAATTTTATTATTGGTTACAAATTAAGAATGGATAATTCTTTATTTCAGGAATGACGTTTGCGTGGCCCCAAAATTGCGTGGTCGTCCTGAAGTCGTCGTTGAAGTACCTGCCCGGCTTCAACCTGTGCACATATCTTTGCAATGCCGTGTATATAAACAGATTTAATAAGGTATTTTTTAGATAACTTTTCAGCCAGTTTCTTTAGGAAAAGTCGAAAACGACCGTCGACGACACGGCGGCTGCGATTCGAGATCACAAGGTGGCTTCCGCTTTCTTATCCTTTTGGCTATTTACGTTTCTTTTATATAAATTTTTTTTAGAGAAAAGTGTGGCTTTTCCCAGAAGGGACGCGAAACCCCGGCCCCACCCTACTACCCTTCAAAAAGGGCGCCTTCATCTTGGCCCATAATGCCAAGGTTTGTAGGTTTAAAAGTCGCATTATCTTTAGAAATTTGATCTTTATGATTAGATTTATTCTTAGAAATTATTAAAGTGATTTATGTTTTTTTCAGATCCCCGTCGTCTGCTGCGTGTTCTCGACGCACAAGCAGTTTTACGATTGGGTGCGTTAGTCTTATAAAACATTTACATTTAAATGTTGATTTTTTTAGGAAAACTATCGATTCGACGACTCGGGCCATGTCATTGGCGACATTTTACCGCCGATTGATTCGACCAAATTTGAGACGGTTGGTCAACGCTTTTGCTGTGTTTTTTTGATGATTTCTGGTTCCCGGGATCCTATAACTGATTTTTTTTTAGGTAGAGGAACTCTCCGAGCACTGCCGAAAAGTGATGCAGACGAGATTTGACGAGCTGAATGTCGAGGTAAAATTTTAAGTCGAGTTTTAAAATGCCATTTTCCAGATCGGTGTTTCCGCCGGCGACAAGAAGAGCGACTAGACAGCCTGATTTTCTCCTTTAACCTCCCATTTTCAAATTGTACAAACCCATTTTGCTGACTTTTCATTCTTGTCATTTTTAACTTGTTGCTTGCTTTTTTGATTTTCCCACACGCCTAGTTTCGCACCATTGCAGTTGCTTTTGATTCGGGTGCTCAGGCATTTGCCGACATTGTGATAAATTTTTTAGTGAATTCTGAAAGGCAAAAAAAGTGTCTGCCTAGTAGTGAAATGTATTTCTAGAAAACCGGAAGCGGCAGCAGGGTCACTTACGAGAACGTGAAGCACACCTTTGAATAGTCCCACTGTACGAAGAATCTCTGATGCCGCGAAAAACGGATTCAAGGTCGTTTTTCGCGTGAAGCTCAACGAGACCAGTGGGATTATCCACGCGCGCATGATGATGAACCACGCTTCCGATTGCTGTTCTATAACCTGGTCAGATGAGAACCAGAAACCAGTAAATGATTGGAATGTAAGGCCAAAAGAGCATCTGGTTTGGTATTTTCGCTAGTTGAACTACATTCCGGCTTTTTTAATAGGACCGCGAGGGACGGACGCCTTTGCTTGCTCCCATCGTAATTTTTCTGCATTTTTCGACGTTGCAATTTTTTAGGCTTCCCGATAGCGGGTGGACAGGGCAAATCATCGTGTCATCCCAGTTTTAGAAAATTTGTAGAAAATCGGTTTGTCAAGGTCATATAGCCAGATTGCAATTACAAAACGTTGACGTATTCGTAGCTGTCAAAACTTGATGGTGGTACTTTCCATGTTCCTTTAGATCTCTCTAACTGTTACGAATATTCGATCCTGATCAAGCATGAACAGCTGCACATGGAAAAGTAGTGAGGAGGGGGAAAGTAAATATTCTTTGAGTCGCGTAAGGTCGCCGCATTGATATTTCTAGCCACGCTGTTGAAAAGGCGAATCAGGACGTAGCTGGGTATGGAAAAGTGTCAACTTGCTACTCTATCAAAGCATGGCAGAGCGCTATCGAAGCATCACTTTGCGTAGCTGACGAATCAGATTTTGGTATTTTTAGCTGCCTCTTAGCTCTAGTTTATATTTTTTTAGAAATTCCCTTCCTCTCCCGGGCCATTCACCACTGGCTGACCCTTTCGCTTCAAGCTTTCAGAAGCTTATCTCCCCCCACACAAGAAAAAGCAAAATGACCCCCGGGTGGCCGCTGATGCAAGAATGCCCGGGGGTTTCGTGTGCCTTGCCAATCGTGGGTGTGTGCCATTTGGATTGGTGGTACGTACCAAATTGTCGTGGTTTTCAGAGGGCATACAGGGGAAACAAGGGGTGCGAAGCGCGGGGCGCGTTGGCTTACTCATGGGGGGCGCATGCACCCGATGGGAAACCCGGGGGTGGCCGCTTTTGTTCGGAGCATGAACAGGCCTATTTTCGGCAAAGACCTCGAGTTTTTTTTGGCTTTTTTGAGGTTTCTATTGAAAAGCATTTGCCTTTTGATAGAAATATCAGTTTCAGTTACCCCGACAAAACGCTTGAAACGCTTTGCAGCTGTTATAAGGTGTTTCCAAGCTTTTGCTCTTGAAACTGCCGTTATGAGAAATTCCGAAGACACGTCCAAGAGCTTATTTTCCAAGTAGGCATCGATGGTTTGCCAATTTTTGAAGCTTCTATAGAAGTGCCTTTTCAAAGGTGGACCTTCAAATCACTCAAAAATCGGGGAATGATGGTTTTCAAATTTTTTTCTCTGTTGCTCTGGCCAAACATTAAGTTTTCGCGCAATACGGATTTTGAGGAATTTGTAATTCCTTTTTTTCAGGGCGGCCCTCAAGTTTTTGTTGGCATTTCTGAATTTCTGGTCAAAAATAACGACATTTAAATATTTTTGGCCTTCACAAATTCTCTCTAGGATTTTTAAAGGCGAAGATTTCGGAATCTAAGAATGGACATCGAGTCAAATTTCTAGAAGTGCTGTTAAAAAGGCCTGACATTTTGATACTTTACATCTTTTCTAATACCTCTCCAAAATTTGGAAGCCCCTTTTCTGCAAAAAAAAATGGCGGTACATCAATTTTCCCCTAATCATCTTTGCTAAGATGCTCGCTTTGACGTTTCGAGACCATCTGCAGAGGTACTGCCAATCCCTATCAGCTCCCAAAATAGCGAAAACCACCCCAATGTTCGCATACTTCACCGGATTCCGCCGCGATTCCACGTGAACTCCCGGAACATTGGCCCGAAAAAGTGCGGGGTTCCCCGATAAAGACGGCGGTACCTGGCGGTGATCTCTAGATTCGTGGAGGAGGTCCAACGGTCGCTACGGTTTTTTTTGGAAACGGCTTCCAGAATTGCAAATTCCTGTGTAGTTTTCTGACCTTCGAGGGCGCCTGAATCCACATTTGCTAACGACTAGGTGTAAACGCCTCCATGACATGCCTAAACGCACACTACTCATCGCCAGAAGCCAATTTAATTGCATGCCAATTTTGAACCGAACTCTGGCTGTCGTAATGCAGTTAGTTCAAGGGGCATAGTGTTTCCTCCCCCTTCCCAACCGTGCAATACGGATTTTGAGGAATTTGTAATTCCTTTTTTTCAGGCCGGCCCTCGTTCCCAAAAAAAATTAGGGGACGCGTCCCCGTCCCCTAATTTGCATCCCAAAATGGGGACAGACGGGTACGGGACGGGGACGGTGGGGACGGACGGTGACGGGGCAGCGTCCCCGTCCCCGATGCAAATTACGGGGAAAAAGTAATGGCATTCAAATCACGCATCGGCTGGGTTTAGAATTTCGCAGAGCAAGGTTCAAAACGTGGATAGCATGATTGCGATGAAGTGCTTATAACCTAGCACGTAGAGTAAGTAACCAATTGCTTTCTAACTTGAATATCTCGAATTTTTATGCTCTGTAGCAAATTCCGAAAAAATGGTGATTATCTGCAGCGCCGACGCCATCTAGGTATAACTTCCAGCTTGGCCTGAGTTGCATGTATTTTTGACCCTCTAAAGAAACGAGAAGGAGACCCGAAATAATTACTGGCAAGAAAACCATTTGCATTTCGGCATTTGCATCGGGGACGGGGATTTTATTTGCATTTCCCCGTCTGTCCGTCCGTCCCTTCCCGGACGCGTCCCCGTCCGTCCCCTAATTTTATGCAAATTAGGGTGACGGTCCCGCGTCCCCGTCCGGACGCGGACGGACGGGGACGGGACGCAAAATGACCAACCCTGCAAATGACTAAAAATTTCCGAAATTGCGCACTTTTGGGTTTTTTCAGTTTTACTTGGAAGTTTCAGTTTTTGAAGTTTTGAATTTTTCGCAGACTAAAGCACTATAAAAATATGTTACAAATTATCAAAAAGTTTTTTTTTTTTGCTGGTCCAACAGGCGGAAAGCCGAAAGATATTGTCGGCTGATAAAGTCCCCGCTGTGCTAAAAGCAAAGCACGGAAAGCCGAAAGCCAGCTTGCAACGTAAGCCTACGCCTAAACCAAGCTGACTTCATTACCCTACAAGCTTCGGGGTTATCATCAGATTCCGACCATTCTTCGTATCCCAATTTTTATGCCGTTCGGAAGTGGTTCCCGCCCCTGGGGGCCAGCTGATAGTTGTTTTTCTCATTGCGTGTAGATCACATCCTGTTCGACCCCCCGGGATTCCATTATCTCACCTCCACCCCCACCACTTCAATAAATTCCCGATTTTTTTTCCTGCTGATCACTACGTAATCACAAATGCAAACAATTGAGAGCAGGAGGGGGTCTCGTGTTTTCTTGGCGTGCCCCCCGGTTCAGCAGTCCTAGCAGCCCAATCCCCGACTGTTTCCCCCCAAAATTGTATCAGGGATTTGCGAACAGTTTCGAGGTTGTTTGCTTGATGGTGCTGTTCTCAAAGATCGAGCAACCCCCCCTGTTTCTTCACAAATTGTTTCAATTGAGGAAAAATATAGCGTTGAAGTTGTCCATCTGTTGCTACAGTACTCTTGTAGGTCGCTACATTTTTTTTAATTTTAGGGAGATGTTTTTTTAAGAAGTTACGCAACGAAACCTTAGCTTCTTATATTTTTTTAACAAAAATAGCCCAGCTTCGAATTTGCTACAATAATCTGCAAACTGTAGAGACTCTGTCACAAGGACCATATTTCAGCCTTCGAATAGCGGGGAGAGCAGACTTGTAGCACCACACGATTTATTCAGAGGTGACCCCGGTGGGGGCACACCTCGTAGGTCCAAATCGGGGGCTTGGGGATGAGGAGACGGGGCGATTGGGAGCGGATGACTGGAGCTGATCACATCGAGAAGCGGGCTTATTATATACCAGACAACACACGCAAATCAACATGTAAACGAAGGGGATAAATGGTAATCGGGTTTGGTCTTCCGGTATTCGGCGCGCGGATGCAGTCGCGGGATCGCGACACTCCCGGGGGACGAGGCTTGAATCGGCGTAGTCGAGAAGTCGTCTCGAGGCGTCCCTTCTGACGAGACTTGACAATGCGCTTCATCGCCCCTTCCTTCGGTGCTGCTTCGACAGGTCGACGGGCCTTTAGAGCATGATGGCGCCCGAGTACACCATGTAGCTTCTCAGGATCGCGACGACGCTGGTGTTGTTGCCCTTGAACACGTAGACGTTGCCCTTGTACACGTAGTAGTTGCCCTTGTACACGTAGTAGTTGCCCTTGATCACGATGACGTTGCCCTTGAGCACGATGACGATGCCCTTGATCACGGTGTTGTTGCCCTGGTACACGATGACGTTGCCCTCGTACTCGTGAAGACGCCATTGCCATTGTACACGCTGATGACGCCCGCACTCAACATCCTCGCGGTGGCGAACAGAGGGGAGCACGGAATACGGCAGGTGGACACGGGACGTGGCGCTCCAGACGGCGAAGAAATAGCGATCCAGTCATCGCAACAGGAAGTGGGAGGGAAAGGGGAGGGAAAGGGGGAGGGGAAGGGGAGGGGAAGATAAGTCGGAGAGGGGAAGGAGAATTTTTTTGACGTGCAGGCACGATTCCGGCGCTGTAACGTCTTTTGAAACGGATCGAACCGTGCGGAAGGCAAAAGAATGGTGGGCACACGACTCTGGCGTAACCAATCACCAAGAAGGCAAAAAGAGGGGAAAATGGTGGGCACAGGACTCTGCTGTAGCCATACACCACTGGCTAAAGCCAAAAAAGAAAACGAAGCCAAAAAACAAAACCAAAAAAAGGGGGCAGACAAAAAAGAACGGGTCAGACCGGAGGTCCCCCGGGGCACCAATTGTCACAAGGACCATATTTCAGCCTTCGAATAGCGGGGAGAGCAGACTTGTAGCACCACACGATTTATTCAGAGGTGACCCCGGTGGGGGCACACCTCGTAGGTCCAAATCGGGGGCTTGGGGATGAGGAGACGGGGCGATTGGGAGCGGATGACTGGAGCTGATCACATCGAGAAGCGGGCTTATTATATACCAGACAACACACGCAAATCAACATGTAAACGAAGGGGATAAATGGTAATCGGGTTTGGTCTTCCGGTATTCGGCGCGCGGATGCAGTCGCGGGATCGCGACAGACTCTCAAACTGTAGAGACTGGAGAGCATTTTACCAACTTTAGTAGCCAAATCATAAGAAAACGTTTTCCCTGACCCATTTTTTTGATCCGCAATTTCAGTTTTCAGAGATTTTAGTGTAAAGCATCGCTTTTTCGCTGCAGATGCATTCTTTACGATTAGTCTGAATTCCGGAAATTCGTGAACTTGCCTGATCATTTTTTCAATTTGTGTTCTTGCTTTAAATTTTTCGTTTTGGTGTTAACCTTTTGACCTCAAGTCGTTAGCATATTTTAATTGGAAAATTTGCCGCCGCCAGGAAATCCGAGGAACAGGAAACGCCGAGGAAAATCACCTGCGTATTGCCCTCTGAGTCGTTAGCCAACGAAATTCTATCTGATATTCCTTTTTTCACAGCATCGTATCATGGCAAATATTTTCGACCACCGATCGTAGCGCTTTAGACGGGCTAGCTGGCACCAGGCGCACCCATATTCATTCATGCCCTATACAAATGCCACGCGCGCCGCCCATGTTTGGCAACGAGATTCGGGCATTTTCTTGGGCTTTTCAAGCTATTGAACGACGAGAAAATCCGCTGTTTACGATAAAAACGTTCGTGGTCAGCTGCTCGTATGGTTTCGTAGCCCGCTTCAAATAGATGTCATTACTGCTGATTTTAAATTACGTTTTTCCTGATTTTTCACACAGTTGTTCGCTCTAGCTCTCTCTCTCTCGCTCTCTCTCTCGCTCTCTCTCTCGCTCTCTCTCTCTCCCCAAATCCTACAAGCTTACGTGCTCCGGGTCCCAGAACACTACTCCTTACCTCCCCAAGGTTACTGTAGTGCACCCAACTTTTCGATCGGTAAACTCCCAGAGAAGAGCGCATGGCCGCGGCGACCCCCACCCCCCGTGCCCCCACTATTTACCCACGGAAGTGACGGTACCCACTAAAAAATGACCCGGGTGCAGTAATAATAGGTCGTAAAATGTAGCGTCGGCGCTGATAATTCGCGACGCGGGGGGATCAAATGTTTGATGGTGAGAGTGGTGGGGGCTTGATAGGGTATGGCGACGCCTTTTTGGTATCAGTATTTGGCTCCGAAGTTCGGAGGGATGCTGTTTTGACTTAACGGGAGCTTAAGCCTAAACCTAAACGAAACCTAAACGATTTTCTTAAAAAGCGAAACCCGTTACACTGCTATTTGTTCAAATATCAGACACCAGTCTCACTCACCAAATGCCCGCGCGGGGGTCGCCTTTTAAAGGGCTGCCGACGGCATGTGTCGATCCCCCCCATCAACAAATTGGCAAGTAGCCAACAGGGCAGAGAGCGCGCCCAGGGGGGAGGCGCAGAGACATTTGCTTTCCCGCGCGTAATCGATTGCATTATGCCGCCCCTATCCCTTTAAGGTGACACGATTTATGGCTGTATTTACCTATCATTTTGGCTCGTTTCACCCACTTATCCCATTTGCACTACGCGTATATAAACAGTATTAAAAGGAGTGAGATAGGGTAAGGGCGAAAAAGTTTATTGTAACACATGCTCTGTGCTTGACTCGCTAAACTTGTTTGATAAGATTAGCGTCCAGGGGGACACTATTTAGGGTGCGACTCTTCTGCAAGAGTCGTTTGCTATTTAGAGACCTTGTTATGCTGGTTTTATGGTGTTTTTCGTAATTCTGCTGATTAATAGTACAGTTTGGAGCTTAAAATTCGGAACCGAACGTCGAAATTTGACAAAAAATCATAGGAATATTTAAAAATCCAAGAATTCTGTACTTTTGCTTTGGTTTTATTTTGCTTTTTGGTAATTCTACTAATTTATAGTGCAGTTTAGACTAAAAACGGGGCGTAAGAACTGGGAAAATCAAATAAAAAACTTTAAAGATTAGGGAAAATTCTATGATTTTATTTTTTCAGTGGAAAGTAGCTGTTTCACAAGCTGTGAAAGATCCGGCTGTCACGCTGCCTTTGAAACGTACGTGTTAGCGCCAGATCGACAAATTTTTGCTGTTTCACCGCTAACTGTTCCGCTTTTTACCAATTTCCGACTCCTCCTCCTCCCCCCCACCAATCGCTCAACTTGACACCACATATCACGAGCACCAGCCTTTGATAAGGAACTCATTTCCGCCATTTCACTCATGATCGTATGCCACTTTTCGTAAATTCCAACAAATTCTATACAAACGCCTCAAAACGTCTTTACGTAAAGTATCGTAGTCTTGTCGTCAAAAGCAGATTTCGACGACATCGTACTAACCCCCAGCTCCACGCTTGACCCACGTGTTTCTTGGCTCTATTCGCCAAACTTGGTGGCAGCAACAGGAAGCTGGAACTTGTTTTTGTTGGCGTTCTCTCTCTCGCTCTCTCTCTCTTGCTCCCTCTCTCTCTATCTCTCTCAATCTCGCTCCCTAACGCTCGACATCCAGCAAGTCATTGCTCTTTAAAGAGCACCACGTTGATTAATCCGGTTTTCGATGTTTTTGCGTTTCATTGAAACACCCTGTAATCAGAATCATTTAGGTATCTTCATAAAAGGACTACACCTCTCATAAACAGCCTTCGAATTTCCTTCTCTTCCGGCCACTTCTAATGAACCAGGTCGGCTGAACTGCTTGGAGTCGGGTATAACTCGTTTCTGACACTTATATTCAATGCTCCACCGCAATCGGTTTCATAGAAAAAGATAAACTGTTGATGGCTATGCAAAGTTGTAAAACTTATAGTCTAGAGCACGTTTAGGCAAAATTCGACCACGAGAATGGTCTGCGCTGCGAGGAAGAAGTACCACTATGGCAGCAGGGGCTGGAGTTGGGCAAGGATTGGGCAAAGAGTTTATGCTCAACAAGAGGTTCTAACTGTACAAGGTTCTTGAAATTCAGAATCTAGGTTTGATAAAAACGGCAAAACGCCGAATTCCCATCACCTCATGGGCCAGGAAATATCGGGTTAAAAACCTGATGGCCGACATCATTGCCGGAGTGACTGTCGGGATTTATAATGTTCCACAAGGTAAGTTAAGAGTTTTTCTAGATTTTTAGGGTTAAACTATCGTACTATTTTCCCCACAAACAAGATTAAATAGTACGTTAGATTTATATAAATATAATAAAGCTTCATACCTTATATTTTCAGGAATGGCCTATTCCGTACTAGCGTCACTTCCGCCAGTTTACGGACTTTACGCTTCATTTTTCCCGCCTCTCATCTATGCCATTTTGGGAACCGGATTCCATACGAGCATTGGTACGACAAACTACCAGCCACAAATTTCCATATTATTACTTTTTAGGTGTTTTCTCCATTACTTGCATGATGATTGGCCATGCCAGAACATCGTTACTACCCGATGGCCACACCTCTTATGAAGGAATCGACAATTTGAAACCGGTGGATATCGTGGCGGCGCTCAGCTTTACCACTGGGGTCTTGCAGGTTGATATTTGGGGGTTTTAAGGTATATTTTTCATTACTGCATGTTTTTGAGTACCGAAGCTAAGCCTAAGCCTAAACCTAAGCCAAAGCTGCGCCCAAGCAAAAAAAACGTGCCTATGCCTAAGCCCAAGGTTAGCGTAACCTAAGCTTAACTGGTAGCTTTACAATCGCGTAATATCACATATTTATGCACAAATCCTTGAAAGCACCAGTGATAAAATACTGAAAATAAAAAGATATGGTTTTCGATCGGAATTATTGGCCGTATGAGCGGCTGCTTCCGCGGCAGGGCCTTCTTTTGACATTCTAAGTTAAATTTTTAGTTTTCTAAATATCCGATAACCTACCGTAACCTCAACGTTCCAAGCAGTGGAATTGGGGGAGTTAGGTCGTCTTCCATGATCTAAAAAAGCAAGAAGTACTCTTTTTAGATTTTCTGATGTTAAATGGGGCAGTTTGGGGTATCTAACTATCGTTAAACATATGTAAGATGTTGCAAGGGATCCGTTTTGACAAAATAGTGTCTAACTGGCGTCAAAAAAACGAATAAATTTCTGTAAATTGCACTCCAGGTACCTTACCTGATCACCAATTATCCTTTCTGGCAGCGGACCAAGTGGATTTTCTATACTTTCATCTTCTGGGATTAAGCCCCGTCTTCGTCTTGAAGCGCACTAAAAATTCATGAAGTAAAAGTATCCTTCATTTTTCTGCAAAAACCTGTGTTTGTCGACAATCCTTACAGACGTGTAGATTGCAGAAAATGTTGACTTCATTGCTAAATGAAAGTTTTGTTACCGTCTCTTTAAAAAGCGATACCTAGTAGGAAAGGCCCATGCCTTGATCGAGTTGTCGTAGGTGACGCCGGTGTCGTTCTCGGATACCTAAATCGACAGTTTTCTAAAAATCGAGCCAGGCACAGTACCGCAAAGTCGTTCCACACGTTTCCGCTTCTTTGCACTGAGCAACCCTCGGCGTTTGAGAGTTCCAACTTCGAGGCGTCGTCCGTAGCCCAGCATCTGCCAATTCTGGCTCGGATCGGGTGGCGGACGAATACGGAGTAGATCTAGAGGTGGATAAGTAACTTTTGGGACCTTAAAGGGATAGGGGCGGCATAAGTCAATCGATTACGCGCGGGAAAGAAAATGTCTCTGCGCCTCTCCCCTGGGCGCCCTCTCTCGCCGCGGGGCCTGTTGACCCCCCCCCCCCTTCACAAGGGGGTTCAACAGATGCCGTCCTCATCTCTTTAAGCTTCAAGTGGAAAAACCGGAGTGAGCTATCAAGGAAAGCATTAGGCTATTAAATCCGGATCCGATTTGACTTTACTAGAAATCGACGGAAGCTAATATAGAGCCTGCTAAGACTTTCCCTAGCGAGCAACCTGAATGGTGTGTCCTACTCCAAAAATCTCTGCTAGCTTGCCACCTCCACCGTGTTTTTACTTACCACTTTATCCCCAACAGCTAGTGGCCGCCTCAAAGGCTCGCGCCCCGGCTTGGTGGCGTCGATTACGGTCACGAAGTATTCCAGCCTAAATCGTCAGGGTTTAATCGTAAATCGTATCGATCCAGTTTAGTAGAGTACCGCTACTTCTACTCACTTCTGTGTATTTGTGTTGCTGACGCTTGATACCGTAGTGGCTTGATCGATAGTGACACCTCCAAAGGCTACCGTGACCAGGCTGTCTCTAAAAAAATAGTTCTGCTCATCGTTTTTGGCCAATATCGACCTTTATTTATTATGTGAACTAATCGTTTTCTCAAATCAAATTCTTATACCAATAAGCGTCTGAATATTCGTACACGACCTACCTAAATCTCGGCGCTGCCGGAATGCAAGTCAGCAAAAATTTCCGATCACCACCAGCCCGGAAGGAGTCGCCATTCTAAAAGTTGCCCTTGATTTCTGAATTGCCTTGCCTACCTGGATCACAATCTCATTCTCGAGGTTTCCATCTGAATTTCTTCGGGTTTCACAGCCTGCTAGGGGGATCTAAATGGGCCTTTTCTCAACTTCCTAATGCCCGCTTTTTATTTTCTTTGCTGGCACGCTCCCTTTAATGACCCATACCCAAGGCAATTTTTGAAAAATTCTCTGTGTGAAACCGTGAGAGCGTGAAAACATAATTCCTCAGGCTCTGGCTAGCCTTCGATGGCTCGCTTCCGGTTTGCACCTCACTCTCAAAGAATTTGTATAATTTCTACCTTTCCTGTCACTCCCGATCCTAAATTCTCGTCATAAACGGCTTAAAAATCTACGGGAACGGCTGAGGGTCGTTTTTTGCGAGGATTGAGGACTAGTTGCCCTTGCCATCCAGACTTTCTCCAACCCCCCGGAGTGTGGATCTACTTTCTCACTTTACGCGCCCGGGAGGATGCCAATTTTCTATTTCATTGGAGGGAGGGGACATGAATCGAGAAAATATGAGGGCGAGGGAGAGAGATGAAAGTGAGATAGAGTGCGAGCGAGAGTGAGAGAGAGCTAGAGAGCGAGAGAGAGAGAGTCGTCATAAGATAAGTTTTCCTTACCTTAACTTGATAGTTGGTGCTCGGTTGCACTGAAGCGTTGACGTAGACACAATTCGGGCTGCCCTGCTCCGTGTAGATCAAACCCGTAAATGTGTCATTGAAGGCAATTTTGAGGAGGAAGTCTGTCTGAAAATGGAGCATTAGGTGGAGCAGGAGGTTTCCCAAATGGTCTCTACTATCGTGTCTATCTGAATCTCCATGAATTTTCATTTAGTTCAACAATTCAATAATTCGGTCCTTACTTGAGCTTTCAACCTTCAAGAATCTCTGCTAGCTTGCCTTTTAAAATTCGGGTTGTCGTTAAAATTCTAGTTTTCCTTTTCTTTCCGCAACATTCCCATTTACACCGAACAATTCTCCACAATTTCGCGCTCAATTCCCGAGTCTCTGTCAAGAGTAGTCCCGTAGCGTCGCTAGAGGCAGGTGGTAGTAATTATACTTCCCACAGGGCTTTCTACAGAATTCAGAGGTACCTCTCTGAAGGTCACCAACCAACTGTATCCCGGCCTGTGCAGTTGGGGCCGATGAATAGGCATAAAAGGCCTTACCGGGAATCGGTGTCAATCCCCGGATTGTTCCGTAGCTGAAGGAAGAGAGAGAGAGAGAGAAATAGAAAGAAAGAGAATGAAAGAGAAAAAGAGCGAGAGAGAAGGCGAACCCCGTTTGCGAAGTTGACTCCCTCTAAATCCACCCTAAAACCTATCCCCGGATCGAGAAAACCTTGCCCTCGGCTTTGCGGATTTCGAGAATCCGGAAAAATGGTGGGAGGTGGAGCGATTTTGGGAAATTTTTGATCGACAAGGTTTAGATATTTTGTATGTCAAAAGTGTAAGTTACGCAGAAGTTGGGAGATTGAGCTTCAGGGGATTTAAAATTAAGCATCTACGTAGCATGAACAATAAGCTAAATATCTTTCGCCTTGTAGACGCATGAATTTTTTCAAAGATTTTGTAGGGTGAAATTTGTCTTATATATGTGCTAAATTAATTTTTTTACGTTGCCATAACACTTTTCAACTTTTAAAGGGACTGGACGCCTGACGCAGAATTTTTTTGAGGCGAAAGCCAATAATCAACAAGTTTTTTTCGAAACAATTAAAAGTTTACATGATTTGTATAAAACATTTATAGTATAAATCTAGAAAAGAGCTAAAGCTTTTTTTCTTACCTTATCACAGGAAATGGAGGTGTGCAAAATCGAGGGCAGGGCGAGTAGGTGGCCAAAAGCCAGGCAAAATAAGGAGGCGAGCGCGAGCCGGGGTTTGAAGAAGAAGCTCTCTCGCCACGGTGGCATTTTCTGAAAAATATGAAACTTCAACCTTACCTTTAAAAGCTTGTTGAAGCTGAAAACTATAGTTTTTACTAAAAAACATGGACGCGAACCTCAAAATTACCCCCAGATACTTTTACAGCTTACCGTAAATATTGAAAAACTGCCAAAGATGTTAGTTAGCAAGGGATTATAAGTTTAAAATTTACGGTGTAGTTAATCAATTGTAGACGTTACTTCAGAGCTCCAAAATCGATTTTAAGGCTCTTTTAAAACATACCGTAACTCCCCCAAAAAACACCTCGAGCTCGTCCGGCTATGACGACGCCGCGCTGCTCTTGCTCCTCACACGGCTCGTTAAGTGGCGCGTGCCGGAATATGGAGTAGAAGGAGGAGGAGAGTAGAGAGTGACTCCTAGGTGTCGATGGCAGCCGTCCGTCTCTGTCTGTATGTGTCTGTAGTGAAGTATCTTCCCTTCCTGCCCCTCCTCGACAGTGTGTGGGGTAATTGACCGGGGCGGGGTCTTCTGAGGTGTATTTGACAGAGAGAGAGGGAGCGAGAGAGAGAGAGCGAGAGAGAGAGAGACTGTCGCTGCGGGACCCCCCTACTCTCACAATATATCCACTACTCTGATGCATCCCTCTTTTCTGTATGAATACCCCGGAGGGTTACCCAGCCGTGAACGACTGTGAGAGGATAAAGGGGCTAGCTGCGGATCCGAGGATCTTGCGAAAGCATAAAAAGCACCTGCCTGGGAAAGCAGTGTTATGCTAGCGACTAGTAAGAGGCTAATCTAGTGGAAAAGCTACAGTAAAGGGAGTGGTATAGTGTTGCAGAGTACTAAATTTAGTAAAGTCGTCCAGATCATTTCCCATTCCCAAAACGCAGACATCTCGAGCGTTCGGTGGAGCCTTACGTAGCCTAACGCTCGAAATCAATCAATTTCATCCATCGGGGTTTAAGGAGGTAGAAAGATGAACGCTCGTATCGGTGCGAAAGCCAAGCGTTCAGAGAAATAGGTCCCCCAGAATCCCAGTCGGGACACTCTTCTCGACGGGGCAAATATGCCTTAAAATTACTTTAAAAAGTGGCTTAACGTTGTTTCCGGGTGGAATTCGCAAAATAATGCATAAAATGAAGGCGTCGAGAGTAATAGCGCGTAATGCGGGCGTAGAAACGAAACACTACTCTTTACACAGCGCACTAAAAGGAAAGTTGCAAAAATGGAAGACTAAAGCGTTGGCAGGGCTGGGTTCTGCGAAAGCGCAAAATAACAGCGTTCAGTGGTGCGGCGTAGGCGAAAGTAAAATATGAACTGACTGCCTATGATAAAACTTAAGGATAAACTACCAACTCATACTATTAACGCTACAAAGTTTTTTGGTATAATCCCTCCTTCTAGCTCGGGATGTGGCTCTTCCGACTCGAATTCCTGACAGCCTACATGTCAGACGCCGTCGTCAACGGCTTCATGTTTGGGGCAGCCGTCCATTCGGCGAGGTCTCAAGTAAGCTGAAGATACGTTTAACGCATCTTAAAAATTACACAGAGCAACATAGAATGTCATTTTTTTAAATATGTATCAACCCTCAACGATATTTTTAGATACCTGCACTGCTCGGCATAAAAGTACCCAATCGAGACTCGGAATTCTTCATGATAATCTATGTAAGAAAACGCTTAAAATCTGGAAGACAACCTTTTTAGCAACTAATCGACATCTGCAAAAAGATTCCGGATGTGAACCTCTATGTACTGGGGATCTCTGCGGTTTCCATAACTTTCCTGGTGACTTGCAAGATGCTGACCGACAAGTACTGGCCGTTCAAGAAGATTCCATTTCCGTCAGAGTTGATTTTGGTAGGTAAAACGAGCTTTAGCAGGTCTTTTTTAGGAATTTTTAGCATCAGCTAAATATATCATTGATGTATTATGATGTTTCGCGCATTAATAGCTATTCTAGAAAATTTTAAAATATTAAAAATGCATTTTCTAAGAGCGAAAATTCAAAATTCCACACTTTTCAGCTAATCTCCGCCACAATCTTCTCCTACTTCGTCGAAATTCACAAGCACTGGAAGGTCAGCATCATTGAAGATATCCCCACTGGGTAAGTTAAAAATAAGTAAAAATATGAAAAATATATCTAATATCGAAATTAACTGGGAAGTTTTTAATTTTCAGCTTCCCTCCATTCACCTTCCCAAAACTGGCCCTATTTCCCGCACTTCTTTCTTATGGAATCTCCATTGCGGTGGTTGCTTTTGCCATTACAGTATCGATGGGTAAAATGTTTGCGAAGAAACATGGTTATACGATTTATCCGAATCAGGTACGAAAATGAAAATTAAGAAAAAAACCCCATAAAATTCAGTTGAAAAACGTTTTTAATACAAAAAGAACATACATATCCAAGGTTTTTATAGGAACTCCTAGCCCTCGGCTCCTTATCTGTAATTTCGTCAATGTTCAACGTTTTTCCTACAAGCTGCTCTTTGTCAAGAACACTTGTAAACGAAGCATCAGGCGCAAAATCGCAGGTGAGATTTAGTTTTGTATTTATTAAACTTAGAAGGGTTAAATTATTGTTCGTTTAAATTTATTTATGTATAATTACAGTATTCTAGCGTTTATTTTTCTATAAGCTCTGGGGATTTCGAGAAAATTCTTCTAACTACGTTAAAAAATCTGATCCCACCAAAAACCCTGCCTCTGGCATCGATTCGCTGCCATAATTCTGTCCTCTCCGCCCCCGGTGCCGCGTCCCTTATCTACCCTTCCCCGCGCCCTCATCACCGTGCAGCGATGTCCGAGTGGTTAAGGAGATTGACTCGAAATCAATTGGGCTCTGCCCGCGTAGGTTCGAATCCTGCTCGCTGCGAACTTTTTGCTTTTTGGGGGATACACACAGCTATGTCTTCTGATTGCGCTGGTGATGCCAAAAAGCTATTTTTAAGAAGATTTTTTGGTACTTAGGCTTTGGTACGTTCTGCTCTTAGTGAGATTTTGTTGATTTTTGCTTTTTGTTGAGATGGGCGAATATCATGTACATTTTGTATGACCAGGTAAGCCCCGAGAAACCAATTGGCGACCCACCCCCTCATATACGCCCTCCCGCGCTCTCATCACCGTGCAGCGATGTCCGAGTGGTTAAGGAGATTGACTCGAAATCAATTGGGCTCTGCCCGCGTAGGTTCGAATCCTGCTCGTTGCGAACTTTTTGCTTTTTGGGGGATAAGCCCGGATATGTCTTCTGCATGGCCTACTAATCTCAAAAGATGTTTTAGAGACTTTTTTTACTTCTTACTGGTAGAAAGGTAAAAGTTGATGCAATTTCAGGTTTCTGGCGTTGTATCGGCTGGAATTACACTGATTGTCATTCTCTTTGTCGGGCCATTGCTGGAATCGTTGCCGATGGTAATTTGTAAAAATAGCTGAAATAACTATAATTTTAGTGCGTATTGAGCTCGATTGTAATCGTGGCCCTACGCTCCCTGATGATGAAAGTTCAGGAAGTCCCACCATTGTGGCGAATTTCAAAGATCGATTGCGTATGTTTTAGCTATAAAAATATCGCTATATTTTACTCTCATATTACCTTTAATTTTTGATGCAATTTAGTTAACTTTCAACTTTAATAACGTATCTAGCTCATTAAACTACAAAATAGAATTTCAGACCGTTTGGGTCATCACAGCAGCCGCCGTGCTCGGCTACGATATTGTGGAAGGTTTGGTGGTTGGTGTTGTGGTGGCTGTGCTGAGTGTGATTGCACGGAGTCAATGGTAGCGTCGCGCACTGTATGCAGAATTAAGCGATATTTAGGCCTCTGCTCAATGAAATTGGCCGATTGCCAAGTGGTGATTTTCGAGTGGCAAATCGGTACGATTCCGCCGCTGCTCCGATCGTCCCGGTGATACGGTAGGTTTTGAAGATCGAGGCATTTTAACTTTAAATAAAGCGTACTTTGAAGCTTTGAAATTTAAGTGAAATTTGATTGAAATAATTCAGATTTGATGCACCTCTCATTTTCACCAATGTCGAGCGCTTCAAGCGAGCCATTCGCCATGAAATTGCTACGCTTTCAAGAGGTAACTACAGACATTCATGGCTTATTTTTACTCCTGCTTCTGTTTTGTTAAAATCATCTAATTCTTATTTTTTTAGTCTACGTAGCGGCCCCTGAAAAATTACCACTCCCCGATGAGAATGATATCGTGAAAAACGAGTCTAACGTTCATTGGGACGTCGTGATACTGGACTGCAGCACCTGGGTGTATACGGATTCGATGGGGATTGAAGCTGTTAAGGAGGTAGCAAATCTAACAAATTATAACAATATTAATTATTTTATTTTAGTTAATACTCGAGATGCTCTCCAAGAACACGCTGGTACTGTTTTCAGAAGTTAGAAGTAAGTTTTTTGTGAAGACAGTGTTCGCACCGACAATAATACCTTATCATTAAATTTATTATGGCCCTCTTCACTATTTTAATACGACCAATAACTGTTATATTCCTTTTAAGGTGCCGTCCTGATGCAATATCGAAAAGCGGGACTTTTCGAGGTGGCTAGTGAGGACCAATTCTACCCATCAACCGCTCACGCGTTGGAAGTAGCGGAAGTCGTGCTAACTAATGTAAGTTGATGCTCTCTTCCTCTCTGTCCCTGTTTTGTCTCTCTGCCTCCCTCCTCTCTCTCTCTCTCTCTCTCTCTCTCACTCGCTCGCTCTCTCTGTTATAAGCATTTATCGTTTCAGGGCTCCAAATTCATCGAGGCAGCGGGACTTGGAGACAAGTTGAGAAGATGCTCCCTTCGATCCAATGATTAAAAAACTCATTGTAATTTTATCGTATCTGTAATTAGCATTCGAATGTACAAAGTTTTCATCCGCATTCTGCACCCCTGATCTTGTTGCTGTTTTTCTCTCCCGTTGACGGGTTTTTTGCTCACTTATGCACTTTGTGAATTTGCTCTTGCTGCCTTTTGTATAAGGTGTAAATATGATTTTTAGAACTGCGAATGAAGTTCTGCATTCGGGCTCTAAAAGTAATTCTTGAAACGTAGATGATAAAACGAAGAATAAACCTACTTAGGTTACTGTACGCACTGAAATTTCTGAGGAATTTGTTTACTCCCCCTGCCCGACTCTTGACCAACTGCACTCACTCAGCGACCCGCGAAAAGTGCAAATCCCTACGTGACACGTCTCCAGGCGTGTAGAGGAGGCCTGGGGCTATGCAAGAGAGTCAGGAGGGCGGGAGACAGGGTCCCCACGGGGGTCGGTGTGCGCCTGTGTGTCTATGTAGGTGCCTGTCTGTCTCTCTGTCTAGTAGGCTCGGCGGATTCCAGATAACTTGTACGAGGTTATTAAGTTAGATAAACAAATGTATCGACATGCGAGAAGAAAGATGCGCGAGAGAGAGAGCGAGAGAGATAAAGATAGGGAGGGGAGAGAAAGAGAGCGCGAGATAGACAGCGAGAGAGAGGGAGAGCATCCTTCTTGTTGGCTGCTTTTCAGAAGCTTCTAGCATCCAGCAAAATGGCATGGCCGGAAACGCTAGAAAATTTTCTGACGTGGCGTCGTAAGCATTTCAGATGGCGTGTTGACGGTTCTCAGAACATCATCTGATTTTATTTATTTTTAGATCGTAGTTTTTCTGACCGTCCCTCCCTCCATTCATTTCCCTCCTCCTCCCCTCCTAGGTCTAGCCTCCCCACGAATTCGAGCGCCACGTATAGACAGCGTTTATTTGAGCAGATCGTCGACCCGCGTGCGCCCGCAGGCTCCAGGAGGGTCCCTCCCCTCCCGTTTCGAAAAGCTAACGGTCCCCCCCTATTTTTGGAACGCGCCCAGTGTGGTTGGGTTGGCGAAGGGCGCCCGCGAAGCTGGCCTAGCGGGTACAAACAAAGCATCCCCCACGACCCCTGGTCACCCACAGACACCACCACCACAGACAAGCCTAGTCTCAGGGGGCGGGCAACGTCTGGGGGTCATGTTGCCATTTAGCGCCTGGGTACGGTAGGTAGATGGCATTGAACTTCTTGAGTTTTAAAACCGCAGACGTACATAGATTAAAATTTGCTCCAATTCCGCAAGGATTTTTGCTAGCTAATCCTTAAATCGGGTTTCTAGGCAATGCCATTTAGCGCTTGGGTACGGTAGGCGAGCCCGAACGTATTGAGCCCTGCTTTATTCAGCTATAACATTCCGGACCCTAATTCTGAGGCATTATTACGAATCAGGCCCATTTCCTCAAGCTTCTCTGCTAGTTGGCTTTCAGCCATATTTCTGGGAGATGTTGCCATTCAGCGCCTGGGTACGGTAGGTAATCGAGAATGTCTTGAGCCTGACTTTGAAGGCGAAGGTGCACAGGGCTTAAAATTTTCTCCAATTCCTCAAGACTACTCTTAGATTTCACTGAAGCGAATTTTCCTAAATAAATTTGATTTTTCAGTTTTGCGCAGATTCCGAAAAGCTTTCAGAAAAAAAATTCAGAGAAAGAAACAGTTTTTTCGGCATTACTCAAGAACCTCCGCTAGCTTTCCAGGTTTTTCTAGCCTATGTTTTCTCTCAAATTAGGATTTCTGAAAAATTCCGTACACCCCTGACCTTTCCTCGTCCGTTCCACTCCGATCCGGGGCTAACGTTGCCATTCCGCGCGCCCCCGCGTTCCGGTCATTGTTATTGCGGACTGTTTGGTCAGGGGCGCGGACGCGGAGGCGCGGCCTTCGCGCTCCATGTTTGCCCCGTTTTGAACTGGATATTATGGCCAGTTTAGCTTGGACAACGAGCCGGCCGGCGGCGAGAACGGTGGTACGAATCCGTCCTTTGCCCCGATGTGGCTGGCGCTCCATTGTGCGCTCCGGATGGGAGGGCCGGTGCTTTTATACGGCTCCGTTACAGTATCCCCTCCCCGCGCGAGTCATGCTCATCGTGTTGATTCTGAATCGTGAAACCTCATCTTTAGCTTTTCGATATTCCAAGGGGCGATTAACGGGACCGAAGCCATAAATCATCAAGACATTTTTGGCGATTTCATAAGGTTTCGAGCCAAAAAACTCCCAGTTATGTAATTTTTATGGATCAATCAAAACGTAAGGACCCGAAACTGACAAATTTATAAATGCCAACAACAGTTTTCCGATGTCGAAACAAATGTCTCAGCATTTAAATTTTTTTTGGAAAAGTAATTGTTGCCGGTGTGCCGGATTTAGTGATTTATTTGTGTTTGTCAGTGACAAATTTTTAATCTGAATGGTATTTATGATCGTTATCTCTACAAGGTAATCAGGCTTATAAAACCTTATAATTTTACTTATGCGTGTAATGGTATCTTTTTTACGCAAAAAAGTTTCGAAATTTTTAAAGTACGTTCTTATGCAAATTCCGGCATTCCGGGAAAACCACAAACAACGAACATTTTTATATACGTTTTGGCCTTAAAAACGTTGCTAGGTTTTGATTGCGCGCTTCGAAGTATCTAGAACCCATGTCTGAATTGATCCGCTAGACCCAAAAAAATCGTAATAATTCGGTTGTCCCGGGTCAGATTGTGTGAACACCGTGGGGCATGTGTGCTTGGTGGTGGTAGTGGTAGTGGTCCTCGTCCAGCAAGCGATCCAGCGTAGCCGCCCCGGTCCGTGGTCCCAACAACGGACCGGAGGAGCGTTGTGGACAAAGCGTTCCACCCTCCGGGATGCGTCACTTGACGTCTCGTTTTTTGTAAAGGGAGGGGGGAGGGGGACTCGGACTCGCAGATCCTGGGTCTCGCGGGGTCGCGAAGGGGGGGGTAAACTCGACAAGGAGCACCGTGTTTGGTGGGGTGGGTGGGGCCGGTGGGTTCCACGCCGAAAAGAGCAGGGTTGTACTTCGTGCAGAAATTTGGTAAAATGTTGTTAAATTCTGCGCATTATTGGAGAATTCTGGACTAAAGGGACTCGGACAGCAAACACTTCGACCAAAAATTTGGTGTAAACTAGCCCAAACTATAGCATTTCGGAAATGAAACTGGTTAGCGCTACGAACTTTGTTTTTGATTTCATCGTCCCTTTAAAGGGGCAATCAATCCAGATTTTTGCGATTTTTCAGGTACTCTACAGCCGGGGATTCGAACCCAGAACATAAACTCGAAAGTTTAGCGCGCTATCCACTGCCCCAAAGCCAGTAAACCTTTCTAAACATTACAGAAGATACCTTAAATTTTAATTAGAAAACATGCCGCAACAAAAAGCAAAAAGGTACCGCTGCGGGTTTCGAACCCGGACCCTCGACCCAATGGTGTAGGGCACTATCCACTGCGCCACAGTGACATCTCGCGACTCCGAAATGCGTAAGACGTACCCTTTTGTCATTTTGAGCCGTTTTTCACCGCTAGCCTCTCATGCTCCAACTTGTTCTCCACCCTTCTTTTCTGACCACGGCTGACCATACGGTTGGGTCGTCTCTCTCTCTCACTATCTCTCTCTCCGGGCCCTACCACGAAAAAGCAAACACGGGAACGCCCCGAGGGGGGGGTGGCCCTCCCCCTCGAACCGCTTTTCCAGTCACACCCCTCCCTGTGTGTCTGTTTGTGCTCCGAATCCTACGATTTGTAAGCTCTGGAATAATGGTCGGATGACCTGTCGGGCTTTTTTTTGTAGTTAATTTGAGACTTTTCTGAAGTTTACAAGATTACTCGGGCGTCTTTGCTCTGTTGAATGGTCGTTGAGCTCGACTTTATCCGATTTCGATCCAATGCCTCATTTTTTGCGTGTCTTCTCTTCGTTTCTTGCATTTGTCTACAGTATTTTTGCCTAATATGCGCTTTCGACGATCGATTTTTACGCTGAAATTTTCTAAAAAACCAGGGTTGAAAAGCCGCTTCGCGACTTTTCAACCCTGGCCCCGTCTAATCCTATGATTTTCTTTATTTTGCATAATTGTGCCTCAATTCCGATGACAAAAAAATGAAAAATGAACCCTTTGGGCCTTTATATAGGCTACTGCAACTTCCGGCGTATGCTAATTTTCTCCTAACAAAGTGGGTGGCCGAATTTTTACGAAAAACTTAATTTTAATGTCGAAAACAACATATTTTACAAAATCTGATGTGTGTGCAGTCATCTACAGCCCATTACGCATCTAATGACGTATCAAACACCTCCTTACGCCCCTTCCCTCTTGAGATATCCTCCGGACACGCTGACGGAAGTTGCATGCAAAGTGTCATACACACACACACACACACACAGACACTATTTTTTTATATATAGTAGGATACCTGATTTGTCTCTATCATGGTCTTAAATGGATTGTAAAGGACCTAAAAAGTCGTAGGGCCACCGTTTTTTGCCAACAGGGGATTGTCTGCTACGCACGACGTGAAGATACGCGCGCAAACGCATTAGGGATTATCCCTACGCAACTTTCCGAGGCTATTTATCGTACACCACCACTCTTTATTCTGAAAATCCTAAAATTTGAGCTGAGACTGGAAATAGTGCTCTAAAAGTAGAAATCAATGCGCAGGAAAACATATTTTTTCTACCACAGTTTCGCGACTGTTAAATCCCTTTAAGTGTCGCATTTTTACGCCAATTACAACGTCACAAATACTCTTCCCTCCCAAAATTTGCAAACGCCACCACGAATAAATTTCTACGAGATCGCGAGGGCCGCGGGGCCATTGGCCGGCGCGTGTGCGTGATGATGGGCCATTAGGCAAGTGACCAGTGCATACACACCCTCTCACTTCCATCCCCCAGACCAGAGCAAGGGCTCCGTTTCGTTTCGGGACCCGCAGCGGGATGGTGGCCTTTTGGACTCTCGGACCCTCGCCTCGCGCA